ATGGCAGTTACAATGGGTAGGGAAATTTGTAGATGAAACAGAAGATCTCCCCAACGAATAAGCATGTCTGTTTTTATGATCATTGGTATTTGGGTTCTCATTATGTGGTAAATCTTCCCACAAAAAATGATCAGTATTTGTCCAATTTTAGGAAGCTCCCAGAGTAAAAAATCCGTACCAAAAATTATAAATATTGACCCAAATTTCCGGTTAGTCCCTTATAATAGTATAAGGGTAGCTGCCCATTTTCAGTATTTTGAAGTTTTAGCATTGGAGTGGTCGCTCAATTTTTAAAATGGTTATACCCTACGAAACTATGTTGTAAGTTTATAACCCCCCGATACTTATCTATCAGCTAATCATATCTTGACTAGCTGAGACGATCTATCCATGTGTGTCCGCCGCATGTCTGTCTATTATAATTTGTAAGCACGCAACAGGTCACAGTTATGGACCAATCGATACGAAATGCATGTAGGACCCGATACGGCCAAAAAAGTCCCATATTGTTTTTGCCAAAGACTTTATTTATGTCTGTTTTTCCAGTCGCTTTGCAATGAGAAATTGATCATAGTCGGATACCCGAGAGGAGTAGTTGACCTTTAAATTGATACAAATTTTATTATTCTATCTACTCGGATGTGGGAGTTTTACTTAAATACTTACCGATTTATACGTATTCTGATATTTTTTAGTTTTACTGATGGCCAGGAAAATTCGCATGAAGTTTCGGTTATTGTCAAAGACGATGATGATCAGATGAAATTTCGGGAACCGAAAAGTTTATTGTTGCCTGGTCTTCTAGTTGTTCTAGACGCCAATTATAAGACGAAAATCAATCGACCTACATTGATCAACTGTTTCGAATGGCTGTCATAATAATGAACGGTCAATATTTACAAATAAACCAAAACATTTTTGTGTAAAATAAAAAAAATGAATATTACGAACTAATTTTTATACCCTTCACCACACTGTGGTACAGGGTATTATGTCTTTGTGCATATGTTTGTAACAGGCAAAAGGAATCGAGATAGACCCATAGTTCCTTTTGAGAATATGCATGTCCGTCTGTCCGTCCATCCGTCCATGTATTTTTGTGAACAAAGTACAGGTCGCATTTATGATCCGATTTGGATGAAATTTGGCACAGTTTACTTATTTGGCCCAAGGACGAACCCTATTGAAATTGGGAAAAATCGGTTCAGATTTAGATATAGCTCCCATATATATTTTCGTCCGATCTTATGTAAATGGTGCACCAAAGTCCTAAATATCTTTCGATTTGCACGAAATTTGGCATAACGTACTGAATTGAGCTTAGCGTGATGTCTGCCAAGTTTCGTGAAAATCGGTCCAGATTTAGATATAGCTCCCATATATATTTTCGTCCGATTTTATGTAAATGGTGCACCAAAGTCCCTAAATATCTTTCGATTTGCACGAAATTTGGCATAACGTACTGAATTGAGCTTAGAGTGATGTCTGCCAAGTTTCGTGAAAATCGGTCCAGATTTATATATAGCTCCAATATATATAGTTTCGTCCGATTTTATGTAAATGGTGCACCAAAGTCCCTATATATCTTTCGATTTGCCCGAAACTTGACATAACGTACTGAATTGAGCCTAGAGTGATGACTACTAAATTTCGTGAAAATCGGTCCAGATTTAGATATAGCTCCCATATACATTTTCGTCCGATTTTATGTAAATGGTGCACCAAAGTCCCTAAATATCTTTCGATTTGCACGAAATTTGGCATAACGTACTGAATTGAGCTTAGAGTGATGTCTGCCAAGTTTCGTGAAAATCGGTCCAGATTTAGATATAGCTCCCATATATAGTTTCGTCCGATTTTCACATTTCGATAAATATCACATATTTTAGTTCATCCAATTTCATGTTAATTGTTCTGTTTAATATACCTATAGTGGTGAAGGGTATAATATAGTCGGCCCCGTCCGACTTTACTACTTTCCTTACTGGTTTACTCTGAGAAACATGATTCGGAGCTGTTGACTTATTATCGGTCAAGAGAGTGCAAATGTTGCGAAATATTGCCCAGGCTCGAAATATAGATCTGCAATAACTTAGAGCTCAGTGGTAGTTTTGATAGTTGGGATTGACCCTGTCAGACTACACTGTTTCGCTCACTAATTTTAATATAGGTTTATGTTTTATATATCGTTTCTTTAAAGACCAAACTAAATTTCGACCTATCGACCGACTAGCTGAATCGAAAAAATGTAATAGGGAATCTGGTCAACGAATTAGTGTTTTTGGGTTCTCATTTGGATTCTTCCTACAAAAAAATGATAAACATTGATTTAATTTTCAGGTGGCACACATATAATGCTACATCCTAAATTCCGGCATTTTAGGAAGTATGGCTGACATTTTCTGTTTTGGATTCTCATTCTAAATATTGGCCCAAGTTCCCTGGTAGACCATATAATTAGTTATACCCTACACAACTATGTTGTCAGGGTATTATAGCTTTGTGCAGCCCCAAGAGTTTGTAACGCCGCGAAATATTGGTCCTAGACCCACCTTTAAGTATACCGATCGTCATATCTCGACTAGCTTAGTCGATCTAGACATGTGTGTCCGTCCGTCTGTCCGTCTGTCCATTATATAATGTAAACACGATACAGGCCACAGTTATGAACCAATCTTCACGAAATTTTGCATGTAGGATGGGTTCTGACCATTGAAGACCCCTATTGTTTTTGATAAAGATCGGTTAATATTTAGAGGATGAAATAAACCAAATACTTAATTTTTGTCCGTTTTTCCGGTCGCTCCAGAAGCCGCAAACATGGCCAAAACATCGCGAAATTTTACATGGAGAAGGGGATTGGTCAATATTTGGCGGGTCAAATGAACCCTGACTTTTGTGTGAAAAATGACAAAATTTGTATTGTATGGCGTATATATTTGCTCCTGAAGGACCTAGACCCGAGAAGTTGGCCATATGTTGAAGAGGAGTGGTTGACCTTTAAATTGATACCAATTATATGGTCGTATGTACTCCGATGTGGGCGTTACACGTAAATATTTACAGGTGCTTACGTATTTAGATATTATTTAGTAACCCATTACCACACTAGAAGGCGGAAATATAGCTGATCGCTTTGAAATTTTCCATTAGATTCCAGTTATGGTCCAGGACAACGCCTATAATTTTCGGTGATGATCAGATAATAATTTTGGGATGAAGGGGGCCGAAAACTTATTTTTTTGGGCGTTCTTCGATTCGACCCATAGGCTACAATTGAAAGCCCAACATCGCTACATAACCCACGGTAAAGAGAATCTAGACAAGTACAGTCCCCGTCTACTGAATATTAGAATTAGATCGCAAAATATTGGCAAAGCTCTGAATATAGAACCATAGAAAGTTAGATTTTCGTGGAAGTTGTGTAGGGTATCATAAGGTCGGCCCCGTCCGACTATACTGCTCCGCTCACTGGTTTTTCGTATTATTCGGTTGTTGGGAGGTAGGGGTTTGGCCTTGTTTTTAAAACGAACTGGCTCTAATTTGGATTTTCAGGTTGCCATGGGGTGTTAAATCCTCATACCAAAAATTATCAATATCGATTTGCGTTTCTCAGAGGTCGTGATTTTCCCATATATGAATAGGCCCAAGTTTCGACAAAGCTCCCATACAAGGATAGCACCCCATTGTCAGTATTTACCAACAGCATTTGGTGGCTGCAATATGGCATTCCAGGTGATTGGAGGATAAAACACATTGTTGCAGAAATTGTTTATATAGGTCAAGGTTTTGATATAACTTCCACATAAAGGTCCGGACCCATTTCAGGAATTATTAAGTTTTTAACCGAAATTTCTTGACGAAGTGGTTTCTGATGAAGAAAAACTAATTTTCAGAAATTATTCAATTTAGCCTCTATACAAATGTTCGGTATGTTGAAGTTCCTACCCCAAACTTCCTACCTGAGTATCTGTAATTTGGAATACACATAGACATAATGCAGTAAAATAGTCCTCATATAAAGGTCCCTATCAATTTAATTAATTTTGAATGCCTACCAAGAACCTATCGATATATTTATGTGCCTCCTTTCATATGTCGATTATAATTTGTAATAAAAGAGCGGATCTCAGTTAGCGCAATCGGGGCTTTCTATTATTTTTACGTAGCTCCGGCTCAGAAAAAGGACGATAGTTATATGGCGCATGGGATCTGGCCAACAAATCGGCCAAGTTTTGTGGGAAAAAAATAACATATATAATACTACAATGGCCAACATTTTCGAAGGTCTATTCAGGATAATAATTTTCTGCGTACTCTTTGAAAGTTATAATTACAGACTTTATAAATATTTTTTGCAGGCGTATCTAAGGTACAAATCATTTATATGATGGTAAAAGATTTCATGTGAGTATCGTTCGGCAAATTTCAGAAAATGTTACATTTTTGTAAGAGACTATATGTCAAGCCAAAGAAATCGGTCGGATGTTTGAAAAATAAATCTCAAATATAAATATCGGAACAGAATATTATTCATAATAATAATGCCAACCTAATGGAAAAATTATTCCATTATCAATATTTCGATGCGGAACTAAATATATCATCCCATTATTTTATATTATTTTAAAATTAACGGAATTATTTTCGCTTTTTACACTTTTCAATTTTAAAATGTTCATTATCTGCAAATGCTTTTAAACATTTTTATTTGTTTATTTTTATATTCCAGAAAAGAACACACCCACATCCCAGTATAAAATTACTATTTAATGTAATGATGTGGATCCTTGGTATTTGCACATTCTTCCATTATTTTCATTTCATTACCACAAAACAAAAAAGAGCGCGACAAAAACCCCAACTTCGTTATGGCTTTTCAAAATATTTAATCACGGATAACACTTTACTAGATTCCGCTGAATGAACTGAGGAGGATGGAAACACTTTTCAAGTTACTTTTTACTTTTATCTATAGTTTTTTTTTGCAGTTAACTTACCCGAACTTTGCGTACTGTCTTCCTGCTATCGTTGCGTATATTTATGGTCACACAGACATCTTCGCCATGGGTATACCAGGCCTTATCCAAACTGGCACGTAATCCGACACGACCATCTTGCAGGAGGAAAGGTTTGTCCACGGCACCTTGTGGCCCACCGGTGCTGGGGCAGCTGGTAACACCGGCTACACTGTCATACTGTGTGCAATGGCGGTTGGATGAGGAGTGGGGTCGGCAGCAGGAGCATATCCGTAGATTGGCAAATGCAAAGAACGTCATCAATGTTTTTGCAACAAAATTGGAACGGCAGTGGCAACAGCAAAACAAACCAGGACATCCATTATGGCCCCAAACGGATGTTGTCGTTGTAGTTGTTGTTATAATTACATTGCAGATAGCAAGAAACACAACCACAAAGAAAAAACGAGAAGAAGAAGAAAAAAAGAAACACCATGATAAGACAACAAGTTTGATGCTATAATGAAGAAAACGAAGATGGAAAACAGTAATGGTGTAGGAGGACGAAGAAAAAACCCGAGTGTTTACAAAGATGTTGCGGTGAAGTGAAATGAACATCCGCAATGTTGAGGACACAAACACCCTCTCCCACCCAGAAAAATTCAATTAGTGGTTGTTGCATTCTGCCGGCATTCGATTTCAAAACGTTGTGCCTTTTTCTTTGCTGTTTCTTTGGCCATCATCATCATCATAACTCTTGCCATTCAGTCATCCATTGACTGGGAAATCTTTCAAAGAATCAGCAGGAAAATGCAGCATTTACTTGCCTTTAGAGAACAAAAAGCTCGATAATAACATTTAATAACCACAATTAGTAAAGAAAGGTGAAAATTTAATGAGGTTTGGAAATGTGATTAAGTTTCTTTGCAATGGAAAGACAGCCATCAAGAGGGTGGGGAGTGAAAGGGGTAGGATTTTAATTGAAATGGAAAAATATATTTAAGTGGGATTAAATTTCGAAGAATCCCATTAAAAATTTTATTTGTAGCACCTCAAGAGGTATAATCGGATTTTGTTTTTCTATAGAAAAAAAAATCACAGACCTCAGTTCACACTGAGGTACAATTTTTTTCTATAGACAAAAATTCACAGACCTCAGTTCACACTGAGGTACAATTTTTTTCTATAGAAAAAAATTCTCGCAGACCTCAGTTCACACTGAGGTACAATTTTTTTCTATAGACAAAAATTCACAGACCTCAGTTCACACTAAGGTACAATTTTTTTCTATAGAAAAAAATTCACAGACCTCAGTTCACACTGAGGTACAATTTTTTTTTCTATAGAAAAAAATTCACAGACCTCAGTTCACACTGAGGTACAATTTTTTTTTCTATAGAAAAAAATTCACAGACCTCAGTTCACACTGAGGTACAATTTTTTTTCTATAGAAAAAAATTCTCGCAGACCTCAGTTCACACTGAGGTACAATTTTTTTCTATAGAAAAAAATTCTCGCAGACCTCAGTTCACACTGAGGTACAATTTTTTTCTATAGAAAAAAATTCTCGCAGACCTCAGTTCACACTGAGGTACAATTTTTTTGATAGAAAAAAATTCTCGCAGACCTCAGTTCACACTGAGGTACATTTTTTTTCTATAGAAAAAAATTCTCGCAGACCTCAGTTCACACTGAGGTACATTTTTTTCTATAGAAAAAAATTCTCGCAGACCTCAGTTCACACTGAGGTACAATTTTTTTTCTATAGGAAAAAATTCTCGCAGACCTCAGTTCATACTGAGGTTCAATTTTTTTCTATAGAAAAAAATCCGCAGACCTCAGTTCATACTGAGGTTCAATTTTTTTCTATAGAAAAAAATCCGCAGACCTCAGTTCACACTGAGGTACAATTTTTTTCTATAGAAAAAAATCCGCAGACCTCAGTTCACACTGAGGTTCAATTTTTTTCTATAGAAAAAAATCCGCAGACCTCAGTTCACACTGAGGTATAATTTTTTTCTATAGAAAAAATCCGCAGACCTCAGTTCACACTGAGGTACAATTTTTTTCTATAGAAAAAATTCGTAGACCTCAGTTCTCGATTTTTTTCTATAGAAAAAATTCGTAGACCTCAGTTCTCGATTTTTTTTCTATAGAAAAAATTCGTAGACCTCAGGTCTCGATTTTTTTCTATAGAAAAAAATTCGTAGACCTCAGTTCACACTGAGGAAATTTTTTTATACAGAAAAATTTACAAAAAATAATATTTTTATTTCAAATTAATTTATTAAATATTTTTCAATTTTTTCCAAAACTTCTCTATTCAGAATATATGTATATTATTGATTTTTTTTTAAATTCTACACTGAATAAACTTTAACATAATCAATTTCCAAATCGGCCCGATCTAATCATGTTGTATTCGTTTCAAAGGCATTACGGAATTTCATCATTGCATACGTCTCTCCACCTTGCCATGGTTTCGGCTCTGACCATGCGTTATCATGAAAATTGAAAAATCCACCAATTGCCTCACCGAACACCAAATAAAATTCCTGATCAAATGGTGCCCATTTGGTACCCCGCTGTAGGAAATTACGATTTGGTAACTGCTTATAACCAACTTTACGATTTTGAAAACTCTCCTCATCGCTGTTCACTTCATAGCGGCAATATTCCACATTGTCCAGTGAGAATGTTATCATATTGGGTGTCCACAACATTTTATAATTATGGAACTCATCGGAAAAGTTTTGTGTGGTACTGTTGATACAAAACAGTAGGGAATACAATTCGGGGAATGAGTGTATCACAAGTCCGGTAATTAAATCTTTCTTCGGCCCATCATCCCTTGTCTGGCCAATACGCATTTGACCGGAATTATAACGTTTCATGCCGTATCGTGGATTATTCGGCTGCAATCACAGCTGAGGATACACCCACATGGCCCGTGGCATTTTGGCGCGAACCTCAACATGACCATATTTAAAGGCGAATTTATTCTTGGATGTAAACTGAGCAGATATATAGGGTGGAATAATATCAACAAATGTTGGTTCAATGGAACATTCCCTGGAATCCATATCGCCGGTACAATTCAATCCCAAATTTAATGGTGCCCGTTCAGTTTCAAATTTCCCCAAAATGTTGTTCGGTTGATTTTGGTTTGATACGAACAATGCCTTTTTCAACCTTGAGCACATCCTCCACATCGTCAAGATAGAAGTTGAATTCATAATCTGGTGAGTGAGGAATACGTCTTTCCGCTGTCCATTTTTGTGGATTCAGGGAGGTGCCTACAAATTCCTCTTTGATTATTAATTGACCGGCACAATGGATGGGGATGCCATTCACTGTAGTGGCTGATTTGTTGCAACTGACTGACGACTTATCTACCTCCATGTTGGCTGTGGGTTATCCATTGTCCTGGGTCATTGTCGATGAAACCATGCCATATATCAAGATGACTATTGCGAAATATAAAACTTTAGCCATTTTGCTGCGAAGACCTCTTTGTATGGGTGTTTTCGATTTGAATACTTATGCTTTGCCTGGGTGCTGGAATATTTATTTAAAAATTTCTGCCCAACAATTCCGCCACTGCATCCAATAATTTTCTTTGTTTATATTCAAGTTGTTGATACAGTTTTTTATTGGGTTTTTTCGTTGGCTCTTCCGAGTAAAATCACAGTGACGTGTAATTTCCATTTTATTATTAGAAAATTTACACTCTCTGATTTAGAATAATATGAAGCCCCTCCCCTCCAGTGTGGGGCACACAAGTGATTTAAGTGAATTAATTGAAAAGCTTTATAATTCGAAATAGCTATCCTGCTCTACGTTGTGGTTCCATCGGCTGTGAACCAGGATTTTGTGCAACCAACAGTCAACAGAAAGGTAGATAAGTCAAAAAGCAGTTGTAAACCTCAGCTATGGTTGAAACCCACGAAGTATTATAATTCCGGTCAAATGTGTATTGCGCAAACAAGGGATGATGGAGCCAAGAATGATTTATTTAACAGGCTTGTTATACACTCGTTCCCAAAATCGTATTCTCTTTTGCTTTGTGTTAATAGTACCCAACAAAATTTATTCGATCTATGAATTGTGGTTGACTTTCAGTATTTTGTCATTTGCGCTTGACAATGTGAAATATTGTCCAGATGAGGAGTGTTTTCAAAATCGTAAAGTTGGTTATTTTGCATTACAAAATCGTAATTACCTAGTGGGTACCATTCGATTAGGAATTTTATTTAGTGTTTGGTGAGGAATCAGAGTGAAATCAGGAAATTCTACCAACCACTAAAACACCAAACCGAAGGCTTTGGTGCAGGCACTTCCTCCTGTAGAGATGAATATAGATACATATAGCGTGTTGAAGATCTGGAAAGAGCATTTTTAAAAGCTTCTGGTATCAAATAGTGGCGATGAAGAAGATACCCCAGAATCAATAAGAGATGGCGGTATAGATTGTATACCACCTAGCCAAAATGAGGTGGGAGTAGCAATTAAACGGCTGAAGAACAATAAAGTAGCAGGTGCCGATGGATTACCAGCCAAACTGTTCAACACCGGTAGTCAGATGCTAGTCAGGAGCATGCACCAGCTCATTTTTACAATTTGAGTAGAGGAATGCATGCCCAATGATTGGAACCTCAGCATTCTGTGTCCCCTGAACAAAAAAGGAGACAAGATGATATGCAAAATTTTAATAATTTGGCAATGCATCATATATTTAGGCATGATATGGGTTATATAATGACATATCGTTATGCAAAGTTAGGGTCAAATCGGATATTTCGTTCAAATGGTATTATAAACCAGAAGCAGTGGATCTATATTCCTTATATTCGAAATTGATTTCAAATTGGAAGAAATATTAAGTTTATACTATTTCCAAATATAACGGTAGACCCCAAATTTCGGTATTGTGGCTAGTATAGACACGATTTTTCAAACGAATTGGCTGTAATTTGGTACTTAGTTTTCTATTTACGTGTGCTACCAGTTCCTAGCAAATGTCAGTATTTTTGGGTGTTTGGGCACGCTTTTTCACCGAATTGGCTGTTTTTTTCGAATTTAGATAGTGATTGGATATCACATAATCCTGTCGCAAATTATTAATATTGGCCCACTTTTCAGGATATCCCTCATATAATATTACCCGAATTATTCCGTTTTGTTGGCAATCACCCAATTGTTTTGTTATCTCCAGGGGAAATAGACAATGGCATAACCTA